AACTCTCAAACTATAACTTAGTTATCCTTATTGTTATCATCAATTTTTTCCCAAAGCGGACCTCATTTTATATTGAAGGCTTGTGTCTAACACACCTCCCACACCCATACATACTACTTTAACAGACTTGATCGTCAAAGTTCACGCGGCCAATTCCTACCACTACGGAGGAAGTCTTGTGGGGCTAACAGTTTATCCAACTGCGCAGGAATCAAGCTTACGGGAACATGAGAAGTTTTGAGACCTGTTGGCCACGTTAAAGGTACAAAATTTGAGGACGCTACGAGTTACGATGCATAATAAGAACGAAATGAAGTGAGAGGTCGGGGCTAGGGAAAAGAGTCTAGTCAATGTAAAAAAAAAATTAAAACTCATTTTTTTCATTATATTCATCTTCCACTACATATGCTCCCCAATAAAATAATTTTGCACGAAAATCTATAATTTTTGGACTTTGTAATCACACATTCTTCAAATATATCACTTTTCACAAAATCTATTCTAAAAAAATTTACAAGTAGGGCCTATAATTCCTTTTTACTTCTCCCGCTCGACTAAAAAGTACTCATTTCTAGAAAGAAAAAGAAAAAATAAATTGAAATAGCGTATGTCATTAACCTATAAATAAATCAATGTGGTCCAAATCAACCTATAAAGCATTCATTATTGCCATAGTGAAGGTCAATTTTGACAGGTCAATACATTGTATCTAATTTTGTAACCACAAGTTGATATTACAAGTATACATGATCAAGACTTGTGAAATTAAGATGGATCAAAATCAACTAAGTAATTGATTAGGTATAATTTTATTTCAAATTGAAACACAATCGTCACAAGCCATCTTCGTAGACTTGAGACGAGACCTTAAATATAACAAATACTATCTATATACCACATACATCGTTACCATTGAATGTGATTCGGTATTATTTACAAATTTGCTAATATGTATAATAACTAAAAAATTACGTTCATCCAATATTTGCAACAATTCAATGCAGAACGATAATTTCAATTTTCTAACTTTCGCCAAATATGAGTATTGCGCGCGTATTATTCAACATGGCTCTGCATGTTTGGAAACTGTTCATAAACGATTTGAATTATAAATAGATAAAAATGAGTTATTGATAAATAAGTAATGCATATAGATCCTATGAAGTGTGCAGATAAAATCATATTTGATCAATTATAAACAGTTTATAACATTAGCCAAACATCATGAGTTAGCTCCAAATATATTAATATGGACTTATATACTTTTTTTTTTTACATGAGATATAAATACAAATAATAAATTAATCAACTCTTTAATTTCTTGAATTTTTAAATGAGGTGATATGATTTTAGAGCATCTAAAATTCACGAATCCAAATTTGTAGATACGAATTACAATATTTCATTTGTTACCTTTAATGAAAAAAGATTATGACCTATAATAAACCAATTTAACTATTATATAGTAACTTAAAACTTTTAGACTATCTCATTTATTTATTTCTTCATATCCGAATTTTGACTTCCATGTTTCATGTTTTGACTATGGATTAGTAGCACTTATTTATCATCTTTGAGTTAGATAATGACCTTTTCTTGTATATAAAGATATAAACACTAATACCAATTTAAGAAAATTGCTTATCTAAATATATAGATGTATTTGAGAAGTACATAAAAAAAATCATAGGTAAAAATATAGAAGCAAATACATGTTTGACTTTCTTCCTCTAAAATAAGTAATTAATTTGTAAGTTAAAATTGAAAATTACTTATAAGTAACTTGTAGGGATTATACAGGCCCCAAAACACAAAGCAATACAAAAATAGAGATTAACATAAAGGATTTTTCATCCTAAGGCCCCCGGATGTTCACCCTAAAATTAGGGCTAATCACCCGTTGAGCATTTATCGAAGTGATTAACGTTCAAATCCACTAGAAACCAGCAATATATCAAAATCAAGGTTACAATACAACAGATCCACAAAGGATCAGCCATCAGACCCAGAAATCTCTCACAGAACACTCAAAAAATACGATTACACCAAGTAACCAAAGGTTATTGCTCACAGAAGAACAGAAAACCAAACTAAGCCTTAATCAAACACTAGATCTCACCAAAAAACACCTAGATCAAATATTAAAGGTGAAAACCAAAGATTTTCAGAGAGAGATAAACAAGAGAGCCAAAATAGGTAAACCCTAGAATGATCTCGAACGTCTGAGAGAATGAAGAGATTAGCCAAAATAATATCAACCGATAGAAGCATCCAACGGTCGTAGCTCATCCATGTGTCACAATCTTAGTCCTTGAGATAAGTGATGAATTAGGCTACCGGGTTGCATTCAAATGGGTTGGCCATCTTACAAACAGTAATGGGTGCATCATAGGGCCCAGATATTAAAGAATTGGGTTGCCACAATATCGGGCCAAATTGTTAAACACCAAGTTTTACGTAACTTTTACTTTGTTATCGAAGTAAAATGGAATAGCCCATCCAATATATTTTAAAACAAAATTTACTTAAAAAGTAAGAGTAAATGCTTTCTTTTTTGTCCTCTCTAAAATCAATGAAATTAAATGATATAAAATACAGATTGACAATTTTCTATCGTATTTTGTGGAAAAGTTGTCACCTTTTAGTGTAGTCGAAATTATGCACTGTAATTGACGCCGCCATTGTTGGCTTTGAGTTGCTTGATTATCACCTTATCTCTTTAATCTTAATTAATCTCCTTTTAATTTTCCACTTTTAATTAATTCGAATAATTTTAGTAGTATAATAAACTCAAAATCAATTAAAGAAATTTGTGTTCAATTGTAAGTAGGAACTCGGAATAAGATATTAAGGGTCAAACTTTCCAATCTTAGGAACTCTAGATAGTTGCTCGTTTGAGATCTTTTAAGAGAGATTTTTCTACATATTATGCAATTTGTACATAAAAATAGTACATAAAGGATTACATAAAATGATGTAGAAGAAAAAGATTGAATGAACTGTATTTTAAACTAGCAAATAATAGAGTGTTGTGTGACATTACGTAATTTCTTATGTAAACTTTCATGTGTACATGTAGTAAGACCATTTTTCTAATTGAAAATAATTTATTTTTTATTTTTTGCAAAATGTGTGTTTTTTAAAAAATAAAGGCCATTTAGCCTTTATTAACTATAGTTGTTAGAGATTTTTTTATTTTTTTCTGAATAATGCTACTTGTATGTAATGGAGTTACATAATAGTTTACATACAGATGAAACGTTAAAATAAAGTGAGAAAGTTTTTTTTTTATTTGATTGATTGAAAAATTATGATCTAATCATATCTCATAGCATCACGTATATGTAAATCATTATATACGTATAGTATAACTGTTTTTTTTTTTCACTATATGTGTATTCTTACCAATTTGACAGACACGGCCTAGCAATTTTGAAGGAAAAATATTTGTCGATTGGCACTATAAAAAAGAGGTATTTCGCAAATTCTTCCTTATATTTATAAATTCAATGCTCTCCTCACGTACATGTCGATTTATTTATTTTTATTAATGACGTAATATGGAATTTTATTATAAATGTATTTAATTCAATAGTTACTATCGCATATTCATTTGCAATTGAAATGTTCATTTTCTTGTTATTTTTATTTTAAAAAATTGAAAGTCAAAAGATTTCTTGCACTCTACGTCAACTAATACTTTTACAAATAAAAAAAACTCTTACCTTAATGCTCATTAGCTGCATTGGATTGCTAAAAATACTTAAAACTTTTTTTTTTTTGCTTTATCCTTTTAGATTATAATAGTATTATTTTAATCTTGTAATTTATCAATATTAATCTCAATTTAAAGTTTAAAAGGTTTCAACTGAGATTTCTAATAATTTTAAGCTTAAAAATGTATAAAACAAACTCTCTTAAAATTTTACAATTTTAACGAGATTCTTATAAATTTTGTGGAAATCTATTTAAATTCACAAAATTAGTTAAAATTTGTAATATTTCAAAATCTATTAAGGCCATGTTTGGTACACATTATTTTTTTCATTCTCATTATTCTACTCATTTTCAACTACACATTTTTCAATAAAATAATATTTTCTATCACATCAATAACCTTTCTTTCATTTTTAACCATACATTTTCAATTAATCTACTATTCAATAATACATTTTTTCAAAAGAATGTGTCTCAAACACACTCTGAGATTTAAGTGTCTTCAATTGGGAATTTAATGAATTTTAAAAGTCGTTGTAAATTTAGGTGTCTCCAACAGAAATTTTAATGGATTCTGTTTAAATTAATTAAAATTTTGGTGTTTCTAACTGAAACATTAATGTATTTCATAAAATATAGGCATCCTCACTTGCTCGTGGGTTTATAAGAATTTCGTTAATAAAGAGATTTCAAGAGATTTGGATGAATTTCAAATTTAAAAATACATATTACAAAATCTTCGGAACTTTTACATTTTTTATTGAGATTCATATGGATTCTATAGAATGCTGTTCAAATTCAAGAAATTCATTAGAATTACATATAAACGAGCTTGTTTTTTCTATATCGGTTAGGTTGAATAGGTATATAAAATCTCAATTGACTAGGTCTACGTGACACCAATAACTCGATTAGTTCTCTATATAAGCTCATGTGTTCGCCTCGACTAAACGTAGAAATTCACACGGTTACATCCCTTTCAAGAAAGGCTACTTATCTCTCACCTTTTTGTTTTTTTTTTTTTTCGTCCAACTTAGGACTCCCCTCTATCTATCACCTTTCTTCTTCTACGCATCCGCGGTCTTTGACCATAGAAAAACAATAAATAAATAGCTTCATTTATCCCTCTTCTTATTTTTTTCTGGTGGAATGAAACAGTCTTATTTGCCCCACTTCTTTCACAGGAAGATTCTTCCACCCCCACCCGCACCCCACACACCATAATAAAGCTCTCTCTCTCTCTCTCTCTCTCTCTCTCTCTAGGAAGCTTGTAGAAGAAGAAAATGGTGAAGAATCAGAGATACAGTAAGTTTCAATGGAAGAGCAGCAAAGAACATACAGTTGATAAAGACGATGATAATTACTTACACCCTTTTGCTTTCATCTGTAAAAAATCTTGCTGCAACCATAAGAGAGCAAAAAACAAGCTTTGCTTTTTCATTTTTCTCTCTCTACTTTCTTGCACCTTGTTTCTAGCAACCTACCTATTTTCTTCAGACTCCACAGCCGCCTTATCATTCTTGTGTAAGCTTTTCTTTTTGTTTTATAATTTTCTTGGATTTTTTATACGATATTCTTGATTAAATATTTATCGTTTTCGTGTGTTTGCAGACTCATTTAGGGTTGATAATGGTTCTGAAACAGATATAAATGCCTCCCTTTGTTCCTCCGTTCCCAATGGTTAGTTAATTTAAATATTTGATGGAAATTTATGTAATAAGGTTAAAATGACTCGACTGTATATTTGTTACGTAATATTCGATAGAACTGTACAGTATAATGGATAAGAATTTAAAGTACGAATTTCAAGTTTATGACAGATGTTACTTTCAAACACAGGAACTATTTGTTGTGATAGAAGCAGCATTCGTTCAGACATATGTATAATGAAAGGAGATGTAAGAACTTGCTCGGTTTCGTCTTCGATCTTCCTCTATGGAGCCACCGGTTCGAGCAGTCATCTTACGGGCCTAATCGATGATGAAGACGAGAGGGAGGAGGAATATGTAATTCAACACGAAAAGATCAGGCCGTATACTCGAAAATGGGAACCCGAAGTGATGGACACGATAACCGAATTAGACCTCATCGTGAAACGAAAAGACTTAGGTGTACGACAAAGTTGTCATGTTGTGCACAACGTCCCTGCCGTGTTTTTCTCGACGGCAGGGTATACTGGTAATCTTTACCATGAATTCAATGATGGGATCTTGCCTCTATATATCACTTCACAACATTTGAACAAGAAGGTTGTGTTTGTCATTCTCGAGTATCATAATTGGTGGATCACGAAATATCGTGACATACTCTCTCAACTCTCGGATTTTCCGGTGATAGATTTTAACGGGGATAAACGAATCCATTGTTTCCCTAAAGCCATTGTTGGCTTAAGAATCCATGACGACCTCACTATTGACTCGTCATTGATGGAAAACAATAAGACGCTAGGAGACTTCCGAGACCTTTTGGATTGTGCCTATCGGCCGCGAATTAGAGGTCTAATCAAAGAAGAGGAACGAGAAGCTCAACTCATCATGGCGAAATCTGCATTTTCACCATCATCAAAGGCTCGGAGAAAGGCAGTGAAAAAGCCTAAACTGGTTATAATATCAAGGTACGGGTCGAGAGCAATAAGTAACGAAGATAAATTAGTGAAAATGGCAGAGAGTATCGGGTTTTCGGTCGAAGTTTTAATGCCCGTAAGGACAACAGAATTGGCTAAAGTCTACAAAGTTCTTAATTCGAGTGATGTTATGGTTGGAGTCCATGGTGCAGCCTTAACTCACTTCCTCTTTATGAGGCCTGGTTCGGTTTTCATCCAAGTCATTCCTCTTGGTACCGATTGGGCAGCCGAAACATACTATGAGGAACCATCACAAATGCTCGGTTTGAGGTACATCGGCTACAAGATCCTTCCAAAGGAGAGCTCATTGTACGACGAGTATGACAAAAATGATCCGATTTTGATTGATCCAAGCAGTGTAAGCAATAAGGGATGGGAATTCACGAAAAAGATCTATCTTGATCATCAAATTGTGAGATTGAATCTAAGAAGATTCCGTAAGCGCTTACTCCGTGCCTACAATTACTCTATTGCTAGGAAGAACAAGCTTAGACATATGTCAATGGTGTAAGTGAATTTCGGGTAATTCTGTATATTGCAAATAAGCAAGTCAAAAAAAAAAAAAGGCAAGAATGTGATTATAGAGATGAGTGAGTTTTGATTTTTTGCACATCAAATACCAAAACCAATAAACTTTTTTTTTTTTTTTTGGTACATAGTGAAGATGAAAACGTTCTCTCTTTATGTTTTCCTTTTTTATGTATTTCGAAGAAATTTTTGATTGAGTTATTGATGCCTCTAAAACTTCTTTGAATTTTGAAAAAGGGAAGAGTCATCGAAATTCGAGATAGTGACTTAGCCCCCGTTTGGTGTACATTTTTAGAAAAAGAATGCATTTTACCGTTGATGTGAAGGGGAATATGTGGTTGAAAAAGAAGGAAATGTTATTGATATGATGAGAAATATTATTTTATTGAAAATGTGTGATAAAAAACCAGTAGAAGAATGATAATGAAAAAATAATGTGGCTCAAACAGGACCTTAATACTTGTGTGGTTGTGTACAATTAAGAGAAGAACCACGGGACAAAAAATAAAATAAAATTTTGTACTTGAATAATACGTAGAAAAAAATTCCATACCTTTTTATATCATGTTTGTTTCGGATTAAAATCACATTTTAATCTAGTCGAAATCGAACAATCAATATTAACTACATATTTTATGGGTCCCACAACTTTTCAACCACACATTTTAAAAATTTCTATCACAATTTACTAAAAATCTAATTTTAATGTTCACCAAACACCCACTTAATTTTACCTATAAAAATCTATATCAGGGCTCCCCCTCCCTCCGCCCTTGCGTACAACTCATAGTCTCGACTTCAATACATTTTACACGACTCTTCTCAAATTAATTTTAGAATAAAGTTTAATTCGTTGCCGTATATTGTTGAAACGGAAAAGAGGTAACACAACATCTAAATGATGAAAGATTTTGAAATTTCATTTTTCTATGTAGTGGCTTTCATTTTCTGAGAAGATTAATCAGTCCACATCTTATTGAAAACAACCGTCATTGTTCATTTAATTCACACCAATTTGAAATGGTCAGATTACAATTAAGTGGTTTAAATGGATTTGTTGTGGTTCTATCTTCAATAATGGCTCTCACTGTCTTGATTTAATTGGAAGTTTTTTTTTCTAAAGGTAAAATTGTCGTGTTAGAAATGATTTCACATCAATGTGTCGTTAGTGTGCTCGTCTAGAGAACTAAAGCAAGATTTGGATAGGAAGACCGAAACTTGAGAGGGTTAGGTGTAGAGGTGTCAATCCGGGTGGTACGGGTCGGGTCGGCCCGCCAACATATGAGCCAGGTAACGGTCTACTTGAAAAAAAGCTCGCCCGCTACGGATTCCGGGCCGGTTCCGGGTCGGCCCACAAATTTTGGACTACAACTCAAGCCCGCCAGTTGACCCATCTGGGTCGAGCCCATATGGGTCACGGGTAGCGCGGGTCGCGGTTTGTTCCGATTTGACCCGTATTATTGTATAAATAAAATTATAAAAATATAGAATTTTTCATATTTATAGCAAAAAATATTTTTTTTGTTAAATGTAAACTAAGAATTGAACAAAATGATAAATTCATATTTATACCAAGAAATGTTTACATAGAATTCAAATTTAATGTTACATGAATTATTTATAACTTTACAAAGTTAAATTTAACTTAAACAAATAACAAGTAAATGCATTTCTAATTACTATTATCAAATATTTATAGTATAAGTACATCTCAGCTAGGTTGACACCTCCCTCCCCTTTTTTTCAAATTTTTAAATTTTTTTTTCACGGGCCAGCTGGTTAACCGCGGCCTGTGAAGGTACAACTCGCGAAGCCCGCAGGTCACACCTTCTTGACCCGTGAACCGCCCGCTCCGATCACGGGTCAGCCCGCGGTCCCGGATCGATCCGGGCCGATTTTCACGGATCTAGTCGACCAGTCCGTCTTGACACTTCTAGTTAGGTGGGAGTGGATGGCGAAACTTATATCGTAGGTCTAGGGATTCCAAATGAGGACGAGGCTTGGGTTGGGAAAGCAGAAGTCGACACGGCTATAGGCGACCCCCACTCCCTATGCTCTCTTTTTTCCAAAGTCTTTGAATTTATCTAACCCGATCACCTAAATTGTTAGAACTTCGAAAAGTGAAAAACTATTTTTAGTACGACCTTTTATCATTTTTTTTTTTATTTTTTAAAACAGAGTAGGAGTCCCTGGAGAGAAACCCAAACATAAAACAAACACCGTGTAACCATATCATGTGAGACACACCTTATATTTTTTTAGATTAGCCCTTGTTTGGTTAATAACTGAACATGTATATCTCAACTAGGTTGACACCTCCCTCCCCTTTTTTTCAAATTTTTAAAAAAATTTTTCACGGGCCAGCTGGTTAACCACGGCCCGTGAAGGTACAACTCGCGAAACCCGCATGTCACACCTTCTTGACCCGTGAACTTCCCGCTCCGGTCACGGGCCGGCCCGCGGTCCCGGGTCGATCCAGACCGATTTTCACGGATCTAGTCGACCAGTCCGTCTTGACACTTCTAGTTAGGTGGGAGTGGATGGCGAAACTTATATCGTAGGGCTAGGGATTCGAAATGAGGACGAGGCTTGGGTTGGGAAAGCAGAAGTCGACACGGCTATAGGCTACCCCCACTCCCTATGCTCTCTTTTTTCCAAAGTCTTTGAATTTATCTAACCCGATCACCTAAATTGTTAGAACTTCGAAAAGTGAAAAACTATTTTTAGTACGACCTTTTATCATTTTTTTTAATTATTTTTTTAAACAGAGTAGGAGTCGCTGGAGAGTAACCGAAACATAAAAGAATCACCGTGTCTCCATATCATGTGAGACACACCTTATATTTTGTTAGATTAGCCCTTGTTTGGTTAATAACTGAACAAGTTTATTAAAATTTACATTAAAGTTGATAATTAATTTTAATTATAAATTTCATGGTATCCACAAATTTTCAACCATATATTTCTTCAACTTTTTTCCAAATTTACTAAATATCTGATTTTTGTCTAAATCAAACTAGGGTTTAGTAGGCAACTTGGATAATTTTGTAAAATGACAGTAGCAGAGTGATTTGATTGAAACAAAGAGATAAATTTAGTGATCATGTTGAAATAAAATTAAGTTACATGACCACAATGAAACTTTGTTACAAGGTTGATGACCCGCCCTTAAAGAAAAGTAAACCTTCTTCAATAACCAAGGGTTTAATCATCTAACTCATCCCCACTCGCCAACGCGCCACTACGCTCCACCCACTTCCACCGCCCATACGCCCAGGTAACAGAAATGGGTACAGTGAAGAAAATAGTGAAGAAGACGACGGTACTAGGGGAAATGGGATTTAACAAGGGAGGTGGGAAAATTAACTGGTTCCCGGGTCACATGGCCGCAGCCACTCGGGCCATCCGGGACCGCCTCAAGCTATCCGACCTCGTCATCGAAGTCCGTGATGCCCGCGTAAGCTTACTCATGTCTCAATTAATTATAAGTAGATATCAAGTGACATTGTAAAAGCTAGTATTTTTTATAAATTGTGCAGTCTGAAAATTTTATACAAATTGATACATTATTGCTCTGTTTTTTCTTTATGGAGTTTGATAAAGAATTAATCTTTTATTTTGGAGCTGGGGATTGTATGTAGATTCCATTGTCATCAGCGAATGAAGACTTGCAGCCTATGCTATCGGGAAAAAGGCGTGTCATTGCTCTCAACAAGAAGGACTTGGCTAATCCTAACATCATGCATGTACTCTTTTTCCTCCCTTTTAAGTGTTTTCATACTGAAATATCGTACTTACTGTTGAGCCTTAATTATGTTCAATGATCTTGCTACCTTTGGATGATTATTGCTTTCATTGGCATATGCAAATGAATAATTGATGCATATATTGTTGGAAATTAATGGCGATGTTTACACATTTAACTCTATGCAGAGATGGATACACTATTTTGATTCACGTAAACAAGATTGTCTTTCTATCAATGCACACAGCAAAAGTTCAGTTAAAAAGGTTAGTCAACGTTTTGCGTTTGTATGAATTTTCTTCACATGCATATATTAATCTAAAATGATTTATTTCAGTGCTATAAACTCACTTTTGAATATTCTTAAAGGTAGTGTATTATGCCTTGAAGAAATAAGTAATCTTTTTAGCATTGGCTATGATTGTGATTTGTGGTTACAAGATTTCTTGCTATTGAATTTCTAATATGTGCATAAGTGCTTGAAAATTCACATTACTTTTCAAGTTTGTTGACAAACCTCCAGTCACAAGGGAAAAGATTAAATTTTGTACTTTTGCCAATCTTGTTCTGATCATTGATTATTGTCCCAAAGCTTCTCGATCTTGTGGAGTTCAAATTGAAGGAAGTAATCTCAAGGGAGCCAACTCTCCTTGTCATGGTGGTTGGTGTTCCCAATGTTGGCAAGTCAGCCTTAATCAATTCCATCCATCAAATAGCATCAGCTCACTTCCCAGGTATGATTCTTATGACAATTAAGATTTCTTTAGGGTCTTTTATAAGAAAGTTGTCAGCATTCGATTCCTAAGCATGTTGTCTCAAACAGGGATTGTTTGCTTGCATCATAGTGCAGGAGAAGAAGAAACGGGCCACAGTGGGACCATTACCTGGTGTTACTCAAGATATTGCTGGGTTCAAGGTACAAGTGTTCGTAAAAAAAAAAATAAAATTAATGTTTAGATGTTCAGCAGGCAGGACCACAGGATTGTTTTTCAATGCTAAAATTGAAACAATTGGATGCAACATTGAACGAGAGATTCATTTTGACTCTTTGAGGATTATGATTCTTTTTCTCCAATCATTTTATTAAAGTCCTTTTAAGTTCATGACCATATGCAATTTCACCTTGTTGAACTATAATAAAAAATTTCTTATTGTTGCACTGTATTTGTGGGTTACACATTCTTAGAGGGGGGAGTTGATTCTGTGTTAATGTTAGTGTTGAAGAAATTTCACACAACTGGTATGCACCCAAAAATGTCAGGGCTAGTGATATAAGGTACTGCTCCTTATGGAGCATGAATGTACTAAATTGTACTAGTATTTTTGTTATTTTCAAATATCAACTCTTGTTATTGGTTTGATGCTATTAGGTGAGACCATGAGACTAAGTGAACAGTTGGTTTCTTATTTCATGTTTTATTCGGTTTTTTATTCAGTGCAAACCGGTTAGAATTTACACTGCTGTCAAGTACCAAAGATCTGAATAGCAATCAAATGAAAAGTTCTTGTATAATAGTATTTGTTTTTTTGGATTTGGATTTCTGTAATTTGTGAAACATACTATCTTTTGACTGATTAATGGATGTGCATTGCCTGTCTGCCTCTCTGAGCAGAGGACAAACAAACTGTGTCCTTGATTTTTCTGCCAAATGCATTGGTTTCCAAAAAAATTAGATAACATTCTTCACTTAGAGATCTGGTTTGCTCCATCTTTCTAGCTTTCTTCCCGTTTTGATGTCCTATACAATGCCTTCTCATCCCTGCCCTATGAGAAGGAACCAAGAAAGAAAAAGGGACCATGTTCCAAATTTTATCTTGTTACTGGAAACAATTTTTGAGATTGTCACGTGAAGTTGGAAACAGCATGATAATAAGTTTCGAGTTATTAACTTTGAATCACAAGGACCAATACTCACAAGTGGTTTGACAAATATTTATTGAATTCCATCTAGTGTGTTTAGTAAAGTACATATACATCCTTGTTCTTCTACTGTTCTGGTCATTATTTGCTCTCATATTCTTGTCATTTATTTAATTGCAGTGTCTATTGCTTAATGTTTATATTTTATTGCATGCAGATTGCCCATCAACCTAGCATATATGTTTTGGACACTCCAGGAGTCTTGGTTCCAAGTATACCAGACATAGAAACTGGATTGAAGCTAGCTTTAGCAGGTTCATATCATCTTCTAAGTTTATTCTGTGACCCTTTTGTCCTTTTGTATACTTCTAGTATACTGGGACTGTTTTAATAAATGTTTCATTACTTATCAAAAAAAAATTGATTGAATTTTTTCACTTGCTGTTTGCGTTCAAAGACTTGGGCAGTTATGACTTAAGATGAAAGGTCTTATGGTAGACAGTGTGTGAGCTGCTTCTAGCAATATTTTGACAGCTTGTTATTGGCACAAATTTCATTTGTGCAGTGACACTTCATAATGAATTGTTAGATGACCAACTCCAGCTTAGTTTGGTTGTGATCATTTACGAGTCTAGATAGATTGATCTTGGTTACCGTTTTCATCCAGTATCTTGAATTAATGTAGCATAATCAGAATGTCAAAATGGATTTAGAAGTGAGAAACCAGTTTAGATATTTCCTGGTTCACTCTAAACCATTGTTCTTCCAAACATGGCCATCAAATGGACACCCATTTGCTCTTGTAAACGGATAAAATTATATCAAGTGAAAAATATAATGTGTATGATACTAGATCAATCAATGTCATCATTTTGTGCAGGGTCAGTGAAAGATTCTGTTGTTGGTGAAGAGCGTATTGCTCAATATTTATTGGCAGTTTTGAATACCCGAGGCATTCCAATCCATTGGAAGCATCTTACTAATATTGAAACTGAAAGTTGTCACCATGAATCTGATGACAAGCCTAATTATAATCTCAAGGATCTTCTACCAAAGAAGGGGAAACCTCCCAGTAAATCTGATATTCACTACATTGAGGTAACTTTAAGTCTTTCGTAACTGACAAATTGATTTTGCGGAACGCGCACAGGCTTAGTGCTTGGGATATTTGTTTTCAACTGGTGGAACATATATCCTACTTCATTTCCTCATGTTTTGTCATGTCATGTGTTTTGATGTGGGTACGACATGGGAAAAAAAATAAAAAAAAAATTGAACATCGGATTTCTAGGCACCGGAAATCCTAGCCGAAAGATAACTAAGGGTGTGTTTGAGTCACATAATTTTGGAAGAATGTATTTTGGTATAGTAGATTGATGGAGAATGTGTAATTGAAAAAGAATGAAAAATTATTGATGTGATGAAAAATATTATTTTATTGAAGAATGTGTGGTTGAAAATGAGTAGAATAATGAGAATGAAAATTTTAATGTGGCTGAAACGGGCTAAATCCTGGTTTTGTTACTGATTTTCAAACTCAACAAGATATCACTAATGAACAAAAATTCAAATAAAAATGACCCGTTAACTTGTGCATCTTCCTCTCCTTCACAGTTTCATGTGTTTGAAGCTGCTGTACTGATTGGCAAATGACTTTTAATCAATCATGTGGTTATCTTCACTAATCTTTAATTTAATGTATTTGGTTGGACTAATGAATACTACTACAACCATTGCTCTCAAGTGACAAATGGTCTTGGAATCGACAAGAAGTATATTTTTCATGAATATAACCTTCTCTTTATAATTATGCCCATGAATCTGTTTGCACAGGATATCACTACTGAAGTTCAACGAGCATTATGCACAACTCTCTTGGAATTCAACGGTAATTTGGAGGATGAAGTCGACCTTGGAACCCTTTTAGATCAGCAGTTTGAAGTGTTGCAGAAGGCGTTAAAGATACCTCACAAAGCATCAGAGGCTCGTATTATAGTGTCCAAGAAGTTCCTGACTTTGTTTAGAGCAGGCAAACTTGGCCCTTTTATCCTTGATGATGTACCTCACTCATATGGCTCTGTATCCTAAATCTCATATTCGAGGAGTTTATTTTATCCTTCAGTAAAATTAAACTTCCCACTTTTTTATCTGATTATTATTATTATCTTCACTTGGCTTACGATAGAGATAAGTCGAGATTATTTGCTACTCATTGGTTGGTGGAGCAATAACTTATAAATATAGCACATCCGAGCAGATGATTAGCTACACATGCTGGATCTTAGACATGATCCACACTCCGAAGAAAGGCAGTCGTGGAAAATTTCCTACAAGCCGTGTGGAGATAGAGGGTCCACAGGTAGACGAAAAATAATTCCAAAATCTGACAATTGGCAACTTAAAAAAATTGTATATTGATTACATTAAAATCTCATCACCTATGCTCTAAAGCTTAAGACAGCAATTAAAAGTACAGTAGATTTTTTCAATTTTTGTTTGAGTGTGTTAAGGGCTAGGGTATTCTTTCCGTTAGCTCTCCTGTAGAGCTGTTGGACCATTGGATTCCTTGACTCATTAGTCCTTTTGTATACTTCTAGTATACTGGGACTGTTTTAGGACTGTTTTAATAAATGTTTCATTACTTATCAAAAAAAAATTGATTGAATTTTTTCACTTGCTGTTTGCGTTCAAAGACTTGGGCAGTTATGACTTAAGATGAAAGGTCTTATGGTAGACAGAGTGTGAGCTGCTTCTAGCAATATTTTGACAGCTTGTTATTGGTACAAATTTCATTTGTGCAGTGACACTTCATAATGAATTGTTAGATGACCAACTCCAGCTTAGTTTGGTTGTGATCATTTACAAGTCTAGATAGATTGATCTTGGTTACCATTTTCATCCAGTATCTTGAATTAATGTAGCATAATCAGAATGTCAAAATGGATTTAGAAGTGAGAAACCAGTTTAGATATTTCCTGGTTCACTCTAAACCATGGTTCTTCCAAACATGGCCATCAAATGGACACCCATTTGCTCTTGTAAACGGATAAATTTATATCAAGTGAAAAGTATAATGTGTATGATACTAGAACAATCAATGTCATCATTTTGTGCAGGGTCAGTGAAAGATTCTGTTGTTGGTGAAGAGCGTATTGCTCAATATTTATTGGCAGTTTTGAATACCCGAGGCACTCCAATCCATTGGAAGCATCTTACTAATATTGAAACTGAAAGTTGTCACCATGAATCTGATGACAAGCCTAATTATAATCTCAAGGATCTTCTACCAAAGAAGAGGAAACCTCCCAGTAAATCTGATATGCACTACATTGAGGTAACTTTAAGTCTTTCATAACTGACAAATTGATTTTGCGGAACACACAGGGGCTTAGTGCTTGGGATATTTGTTTTCAACTGGTGGAACATATATCCTACTTCATGTCCTCATGTTTTGTCATGTCATGTTGTGTTTTGATGTGGATACGACATGGGAAAAAAAATAAAAAAAATTGAACATCGGATTTCTTGGCACTGGAAATCCTAGCCGAAAGATAACTAAGGGTGTGTTTGACCCACATTATTTTGGAAAAATGTATTTTGGTATAGTAGGTTGATGGAGAATGTGTGGTTGAAAAGGAAGGAAAAATTATTGATGTGATGAAAAATATTATTTTATTGAAGAATGTGTGGTTGAAAATGAGTAGAAGAATGAGAATGAAAATTTTAATGTGACTGAAACAGGGGCTAAATCCTGGTTGTCTGATTTTCAAACTCAGCAAGATATCACTAATGAACAAAATTTCAAATAAAAATGACCCGTTAACTTGTGCATCTTCCTCTCCTTCACAGTTTCATGCGTTTGAAGCTGCTGTACTGATTGGCAAATGACTTTTAATCAATCATGTGGTTATCTTCACTAATCTTTAATTTACGTTTGCATTATTGATGTATTTGGTTGGACTAATGAATACTACTACCACCATTGCTCTCAAGTGACAAATGGTCTTGGAATCGACAATAAGTATATTTTTCATGAATACAACCTTTCTCTTTATAATTATGCCCATGAATCTGTTTGCACAGGATATCACTACCGAAGTCGAACGAGCATTATGCACAACTCTCTTGGAATTCAACGGTAATTTGGAGGATGAAGTCGACCTTGGAACCCTTTTAGATCAGCAGTTTGAAGTGTTGCAGAAGGCGTTAAAGATACCTCAGAAAGCATCAGAGGCTCGTATTATAGTGTCGAAGAAGTTCCTGACTTTGTTTAGAGCAGGCAAACTTGGCCCTTTTATCCTTGATGATGTACCTCACTCATATGGCTCTGTATGCTAAATCTCATATTCGAGGAGTTTATTTTGTCCTTCAGTAAAATTAAACTTCCCACTTTTTTATCTAATTATCATTATTATCTTCACTTGGCTTACGATAAAGATAAGTCGAGATTATTTGCTTCTCATTAGTTGGTGGAGCAATAACTTATAAATATAGTACATCCGAGCAGATGATTAGCTACACATGCTGGATCTTAGACATGGTCCACACTCCGAAGAGAGGCAGTAGTGGAAAATTTCCTACAAGCCGTGTGGAGGTAGAGGGTCCACAGGTAGACGAAAAATAATTCCAAAATCTGACAATTGGCAACTTAAAAAAATTGTATATTGATTACATTAAAATCTCATCACCTATGCTCTAAAGCTTAAGACAGCAATTAAAAGTACAGGGCATGTTCAATTAAACAATTATAAATGTCAAAATTGAATTGCAAAATAATGCAGCAACAGACTAATCACAGGGACAAGTTTGAAAAGCTCATTTATTTGCTTCAATAAACTCTCTGTACTCTTTCTTCATTTTGACACCTGATACAATCCTGCATGTTAGAGTTTACATGTCAGTATCAAATTTAGGCAAGTTCGTGGGAGTCGACAGCACAAGTGTTTTTCTAGCTCACTAAAAGTTGTAAGCATGTTTACTGGTGTAGAATTGTTTATGAGAATAGTCGAAGAATGCAAACACCAAGACAGGATGTTGGAATGGATGGCATTCACAGTAGGAAACTATAAAATTTAAGGGGATTCTGAGACTGGGATAAAGATGTAAAGAGGGTTGAAAAAGGGTGTGCTTGAATTTTCTCGACAAAACAACAAAGCCCGGTCCAAACATTCAAAGAATAAATAGAAGGATTAAGATATGAGAGACTTGTTTTCTCGGATAGAAACATGTTAATGGGGCTCATCCCTTGTTCATGTATCAAGACGTTGAAATGGAATTTCACGATGTCGAATATTTATTTGAAATGTATTAGACATATTTTGATGACCGAGATAAACTAAATCGTGATATGCATGTTTTTGAGCATGCTACATAACCAACCTCAACATTTCCTTGTTCTTGAAAAACTGCACACATGGTGTACCCATAATTCCAGCTGCCTCAGCAATCTCTGGATCTTCTTCAATATCAATCTCAACGAAATGCACATTCTGGTCAAATTCATCTATCACCTGCACTCAATTCATGTATATGTTTTCTAGTTGAGTACAGATGGACTGAAGAATTTTTATTCAGTTCACAAGAAGGCAAGAAAAAAGATCATCGACATACAATGATATTTTCACTGAAAATATAGACTGCTATGGGTAGATGAAATTTCCAAAACTGAACATTCATCAGGTTATGGATCCAGTTCTCACCACCCTAATTAGATGCTTGCATTTTCTCTTGAAAATTGTTTCATACTTTGGATAATTTTTGTGGCAAGAAGACAAACAAAATAATTTTAAGCAAGTAGAAAGTTTAATGAAACCAGAAAGAACCAAATCGTCGAACATAATAGTTTTGCAACGAATCTGAAAATATTGCAAGTTCTCCATCAAGAGACGTGTTACACATAGAACTTCACAATATTAACCAGCTACATAACTATATTGGAATGAATATATACCTTCCCAAGAATTGGTTTCAAGGTCCTACAAGGACCACATGTTGGCGAAGTATACAGTACACATACAAGCCTTGGACTTTCATGATACAACTTTCTTAAAGAATACTGAGACGAGTGAAAGATCAAGTTAAGAGAAGAGGAACATAATATTATGTAATATTTAGGGTAGGTTTAATTTACAATCAATGTATTATAAACAGGATATCTCACCTGGCCTTTGTGCTTTGTAAGAGTGATATCAAACCCTTCTAGTACATCTCTGTCAGTAAGCTCTTTCTTCACCTCTTCAGTCTTTGGCTGTGACAGAGCACCAAATGGAAAAGAAGTCATTATCAGTTCCAAAATATCAATAAGGCTGCAACAACCTATGATATAAACCTTAATATTAAGATTTCAAGGATGAAAATCTCTATAGCCCCTCTTATCTTTTTACATGATATTTTCCCAACAATACGTTACAAAACTGCTAATGGTCAAGCCGTCAAGGGCAACTCAAAAGCAATTGATTTTATCTCTGAACCATTAACTAGACTCGTCGACAAGGATAAATTGTCAACTCTTTAAAACCATACCAAGAAAATGGCTAATTTAGGCTATTGTGGAAAACAAATACTGCTAAAACATCAATAATAGCTCTTAAAACTTTCAAGATCACGTCAGCTACACCCATTCTAACTTATATTCCAATAAACTTCCAAGTATCAAGCTGATATATAATTTGAACTATAACAGCTCATTGAGAGCCCGTTTGGTACCGATTAAAATCCAATTAAAATTGAAAATATAGCCGTTATTGGACCCCACTCGTCTAATAAAAGTCAACAATAACGGCTGATTTTTCAATTTTAAGCCGATTTTANTAGTTTTTCAATTTTAATCCGATTCTAATCTCTACCAAACGGGCTCTGAGCGAGAAAGTCAAGATTTAAGTTTTTCAGGCATTTCATATTGAAAGGAAGGTGATGGTGATACAAGTCAGATTCTACCAATAAGCTACATACCTGGTGGAATTCAATCAGGAGATTTTTGCTTGTAAGATATCTTTCCACCGATAGTGCTGCAACACAACCTGATCCAGCTGCGGTAACGGCTTGCCTCCATTCATGATCCTACTCAAAAAGGAAAGAATAATTCACGAGGAAGACCTTGATTACGAGTCAAGTGACCAGAAATAATCAATATAAAGATCAAGATAGAAAGTTGTGTTTTTCCAAAATATCACATAGATAAGTGATTGTGTTTGTGAGTTTGGATGAACTAAAAAAAAAAAAAACAACTTTCTATTTTTTTAATTTTTTTTTATGTATTCTGAGTTGAGATCCCCTACGATGTTGAAGTTATTTAAAACATAATAGTTATAAAACTCAATCAAATGATTTTACTCCACCTAGATTTGGGGTCAGCTGCACAAATCCTAACTTCTAATTTATGCAAATTCCACTTAATGCCCACAAGTTATCAAATAATTCTTCATTACAGCATTGAGTGTTCGTCAAATATGACTGCTGATAGTAGTGCACAACGTCATATCTGACTTGTTACCCCACATACAAACAAGCTTACACTGTATCCATGCATAACAGTGCCAATAGAACACTATTTGCTTAGTTTTCATTCCTCATTTTACCGGATAAACACAATGACAAGTATAAAGGAGCTGTGAGAATAAAGAACACCTTGTGCTATATGTACCTGTACATCTCCAGCGGCAAATACTCCTTCTACAGAAGTCTTTGCAGTGCCTTCCTCGACCAAAATATAGCCTGCTTCATCAAGATCAACCTGTCCTTCCAACAACTTGCTATTTGGTGAATGACCTATTCCATAAAACAAGCCTTTTGCCTCCAGCACTGATTCTTCTTGAGTGTCCCGGTTTTTTATCAAAATACCCGACATCTGCCCTTTCATATTGCTGACGACATCCATAGTCTCTGTATTGAAGTGCACGGTGACGTTTGGGTTGTTAAAAACTCTGAAACATTCGCCATAATCAACCTGTTAAACAAATATCCACGGAGTTGAAACTTAAAACACATTGTTCATCAGTAATTCAGTTCACCTGAAACGATGCTTAAACAAATAAAACACAAAACCTAGAAGACATAGAAGCAGCAGCAGCAGCAGCAAAAATGACCAGGAGGGCAATCAACAAGTTGAAAAACAACCATTACAATGACATAAAAACCTTCATGGTTCATGCATATCTTAATGCAACAAAAATATCCGAGTTAAATTATGTTGTGACATCATGCCCTTTGTTATTATATCAGAATATCATGTGCCAACATTGTCCTAGATTTTGAAATTTTTCAACCAAAAAGACAATATAAGCAGCCATTTATTTGTTGCTTGAGGATAAGAGAAATGCCATCCCTAATCCCTACATATTATGGCAATTAAGAAAATAGTATTTAAGCAAATGACGGTTTTTACTTGTAAACAGAGAGAGAACAAAATCAGCATGCTTCACTTTTAGAAACTAAGACAACTAGGTTAGCCACGTGAAAGGATGCTTTTGTTAAAAAATCATAATTCCCAAAGCTGTATACTTCTCTAGTGGAGCCTAAAAACACACTGAAGATGAGGTGGTGATTTGCCTAAACAAAAAAGCCTGCATACTTCGAGTTCAGAAAGTTACTTTATACTTTAAAAGTAAATATATTTATCATTACAACTCTAAAACATAAAAGGGTATTTGTCAAATGCAGAAAAACGACTTTAGCAAAATATGTATGGTCTTAAAATTTTCTATCCAAGTGAGACCTCATGGAGAGATCATAAATTGGATATAATACAAAATCATAGTAATCAAGAATCCTACTGAAGTAGAACATACTTAGGTCCATGTTCTGTACTTATCAGATAAATGCTAAATATGTTACAATTAAATATGATTTTGACTCTCTCTAAAGATGATTTTTTGTGAAGGACAACGTGCAAAATCATCTTCATAGAACAAATAGGATGTAGCCGCCATGAAAACTTGATTTGTAATTAGCACATCCACAGAAATCTTTAATCTTATACCACGGAAGAGAATGACATTCAGTGTAGACCATAAATTATCTAAATATAATTTTTAGAAGACAGTAAAAGCAGGAAGATGTAACCGAATGCATGGAACGACAACCCTAAGATGTAACTGAATGCCTCTGATCATAATGAAGTAATAGCATAAAGGAAGAGAAGAGCAAGAACCACAAGACATGTCAAGCTAAGATCTCTGAAAGAAGAAACGTATAAAAACCAAGAGCTATACATCCACCAACAATTTCGAAATTGACATGCAAATTGAAGAAATTGCATGCATAAGATGGACAAGAAAATTTTGATTTGCGAAACACATTGTGTTCACCTATCTTGCATAGCTTTTGATGCCCTTAGTTGGTCACTGCGTACGAGCAAATGAACACGGCGGGCATATTTTGTCAAGTATAATGCTTCCTCTGTAGCTGTATCACCTCCTCCAACCACAGCAAGGACTTGACCTTTAAACAATGGCGATGCTCCATCACATATTGCACAAGCACTAATTCCCCTACTCCAAAATTCATCTTCACGAGGTAACCCCAACCGCTTTGCAGTAGCTCCAGTAGCAACAATAAGACTATTACATTTTACCTGAAAAGCAGTAATCCACTTTCAGGCTTTTCATCAAATTTTAATCAGCATTAGCCAGAAGCTAAGGTTTACAGAGTTACATATCAGAGTACTGTGTCCACTGAACTGAGTTCACTGTCTATGATGAGTGGAACATTCATAAAAATACATGGATATAGATAATGGACGAATACATACATATTATGAAGCATGGATGCATTTGACATGTAATTTTTCAAAAAAGTAGAAGGCGAACATGCCGATCAAAATTAAAAATTACTAAAAATATAAAGACAGCCATGCAGCGTGTCAAACACAAGTCCGAGTTGTGTCGGTGTTCGGTATGTGTTGGGTGAGTGATTATGCCATCCTCCCTTGTCTAGCAAACTCCATATATCTCATGGTTGGGGAATTATAACATATCATCCTTCTTTGGTGGAGCCTAAAAATCCACTGATGATGTGTTGGTGATTTGTTTTTTGGAGAGAGAGAGAGAGAGAGAGACGGTCATTTAAATGGAACAATAATACTGTTAATCATTCCAAAAGATTATTTTACACCATAAGAATGGCCTAGGTCACTTTTGTTTATTGAACCACCTCATCTAAAATTTTAGGATGCTAGAGAGAGAATGTATATACAACCCTAGTAGAGATTTTTTAAGAATAAATTTTGTGAAAAGTCAATTTTTTTTTAGAATCCATGGTTAAAAAATAGGAAAAAGTTTGGGTTTTACAAGCAAAATTAATTTATTGGGAGAACGTGTAATTAAAAATGAGTTTAGAAAAAAGTGAGTTTCAAAAAATAGGGTCTAACAAGCGCCATATATGTTTATCTTCAACACATTTTCTCGTGTAGTTCGGATTCATTTTTTATCTTCAAAGGCTTGATACGTGGATTTTGATACATGAATGACAGCAAGACTTGAATTCAAAACCTTTACTTAGTCCGATACATATTGAATCACCTCATCTAAAAAATTAGGTTGTTAAAAGGGGATATTTTATTAATTTGTATTTGTATATTCAACATAGTTTACTGATAAATCTTATGAAATATCATGATGGAGTGCTTCAGTTATTAAGCAAAGATTGCTCTGTCTGTTGCTAAATGCAAGCCACAGGACTTCAACATGCTCAAAAATCAGTTTAAACAAGTTCGGCAAAACAAATATACGACACATACCATCACAGCCACAGGACCTTATTTTTGTCCAGAAAGGGAAAAAAATAGAATTCTATGCGTGAAAAATAATGAACAACCCATATGGGATTCTAGAATAATGGTTTTCTCAGATCTGACATCATTAGAGTTTTGTCTCAGGCAGTTCAGCAAATACTGTAATATGATATAAGATAACCTGAACCAAAAGGAAGCTTCACCTTGCGTTCACTACTTTGCACAGTGAAAGGCATGTTTTTGACATCAATTAATTCCACATCTTCTTGAAATAACTCTGCTCCCCAGCGCTCAGCTTGCTTCCGAATCCTAGTGAAATTGACAATGTAAAGATGATGTTCTCTTTGAATCACAACTGTCGCAACTAATGTAAACATTATTAAGGATCAATTCAAAACTAGCAATACTTTTGAAAAGTTCAAGTACCTGTCCATTAAGTCTGGACCAGTTATTCCATCTGGAAACCCAGGGAAGTTCTCTACTTCAGTTGTGGTCATTAATTGTCCTCCAGGAACACCACCTACTTGATATCCCTCAAATACTAAAGGCTTCAAGTTGGCTCGAGCGGCATAAATTGCCGCTGTGTAGCCTGCAGGACCTGATCCTATAATTACCAGATTCTCAATATCCGGAGCTGCAAGAAAAGAAACATCAAATCCTGTAAAAATAATCTTTATATAACCATATAATATGTATCACTCAAGTATTTGTAGCCACTGTTGAAAAACTATACAGGACTTTCTTATTAATCAATTAAATATTGGATAAGCAAAAAGAATTATCATTTAGGCACTGTTTAAGCCCCATTTTTGTGAAAATGAGTTTTGTAATATTTTTTTTTTTTTAGAATATGTGCTTAAAAACTAGGAAAAGTTGGGTTTACGTGCATAATTATTTTATAGAGAGAATGTGGTTGAAATGAGTTTGAGGAAAAATGGATTTTTAGAGAATGGGGATCAAACAGGGGCTTAATAAGAATGATATATGGTTAGTGAAGTGGAGGCTAGGATTTTGGCCTTTATGGGGGTGATATCATTCCATACGATCATTTTTAAGGATGAAGTTTTAGCACTTGAGGAGATCCAAGTGGAAAATTGTTGAATGTGTGGAGGATTAGTCTTTGAGTGGGACAATGTTAGATGTGTGGAGCCTAATTACAATGTTTATTTATTATAAGGGTATAATGGATAGTTTTTTCATACACTACGTAGCACTAACAATTTTATAAAGGGTATTAGGGCAAGCATCTTTTTGTGCCCTTCTAGGTGTATAGGAAAAAAAGAGAGGCGCGAGATAATCATTCTTCTTCATTTATATAGCTAAATCCTGCTGTGGTGCACCAATCTAAATGGTGTATATTTTTTTTTCTTTGCTTTTGTTTTATGTTTCACGGTACTTATTGCTCTCGGTAGTATAGATTTATCGTCTAATCCATAACACGAGCAATATCTAAAAAAGCTAATCCTCCGAGCTTGCAGCTAAATTCTCTTAAACCTTGTCAATGTAGAGCTCCTATACTCGCACAAGGAGGCAAAATGGGGTTCATCAGGCAAGGATGACGGCTGTTAATCAGTTGGTATCGTAGTGACAAAAACTCTAGCCACTGATGACTGCACTGCACTGTGCTAAATGTTTGTCTAACAGTTTGCAGTCTTTTCAGGATCCCATTCTTGAATTAACTTTCGTTGCTGAAAACTTCAGTAATTGCTTCTCAACACTACGAGTGCAAGTATATACATTCTTCCCAAATTCACAGTTTTTACAGTTTATTTCCCTTTTAAGTTACTAAAAAATTGCCCTTCCTTTATATTATCATCCAAAAATTATCAAGTCAAATTAGTCAACGCTCTTACAAGTTTCAATCTTTCTTGGAACTGTACGCTCCATTATGTATCATTTTCCCAGTGAATTTTAAATATGAAAAAGAAAAAAATTCAATAACAAACTCAATTAATCAGTAATCACACAAGCTCTATCAATATACGTGTAAGAAGTACCCGTCTGTCGAATGTAAATGAGGGGAGAGGTGTGACCTGTAGAGCTAGATAGCTCCTCGGTGGAAGAAGTGGCGGAGACGCGAAATGACGGAGAGCAGAGACGGTGGTGAGTGAAGCGACTGGCTCCAACTGAGTCAACTCGAACGGAATGTCTGCGAGTTGGCCCTCCTTTAACGAAGACTAGATTGTTCCGGGCGGGAAGAATAGCATTGGAGACAGTGGAGGGAGTGGCCATAGCGGAGGCTGCTGTCGCTGCCGCGACTCGGTGAGTTGAATAGCCGGCGAATCGAACTCGGGTTCCGAGCCCGGTACCGAACCCGAAACCGCTTTTCGAACAGGGAGTAGAGGCAATGGTTGTGCAAGTGTTAGCCATATGTTTCGGACCATAGTATATCCTCTTATGTCCTATCTTCTCTCACACATTAAATCTTTTAGATGCAATTAATAGAAAAGAAAAAATTATTTTAGATATTGGTTAAAAATGATTAACAATATTTTCTAATTCAAGAATTAAGCTAAAAAATGTTGGAAATATTGTTCGTTTTAGATATTGGTTAAAAATGCTTATGAGCTTATCCATATTTTCTAATTCAAGAATTAAGCTAAAAAATGTTGGAAATATTGTTCGCAGACTTGCACGATCTAACGAGCTTCGATGCGTGATACACTTCGTAAATCATTATTTAGTTGTATCTTTATCAAAATATGTATACTTGTTATTTAGAGCCTGTCTGGGAGGACTTTTTGCCAGATTTTAATCTTATTTTAGACCGTTGCTCAACTATCAGCCGGAATTGTTAACTTTGGCGTCTCGTTGTGCTTCCCAGGGAGTGCCAAGAAACGGTCAAAAATTCAATTCCATTTGACAAAAAATCACTGTCTGACAGTCTTAATATTTAACGAATCTATTTGTAATATATTCTTAATTGCAATGAAATTTTTTGGATTTTTATGCATTTTCTCACGTGTATACTTGCGCGTTGAGTCATTAACTAGGGATGGCAACGGGGCGGTGCGGGGCAGGGCGGGGATGCCCTCCCGTCCCCCGCCCCGTTAAGAAATTCATTCCCCGTTCCCACCCCGTTCCCCATTTAAGGCAAGGCGGGACGGGACGGGGGTAGGTTTATTCCCCATTTAATTTTTTTTTGGGGTTTTTTCCCGTTTAAATTTTTTTTTTTTTTTTTAGTTTTTGATAATTTATTTTTTTTGTCCATATTCATTATATTTAAACAAATAATTTTAGTTGCTATTTTCTATTAGAACTAACGAAAATGTTCATTTAAAGTATTGAATTCTTAAAAAAAAAAAAAAAATATTTTTTTTTTAACGGGGCGGGACGGGGACCCCGTTACCCGTCCCCGCCTCGGGGAATAATTCCCGCCCCATCCCCGCCCCGTTACCCGTTTAAGCGGGTTTTCCTCTCCTCGTTCGGAACGAGTCCCCACGGATATCGGGTTTGTCGGGTTTTTTTGCCATCCCTATCATTAACATGCAAAACTCGTTCCATGGGTCTAGCCAAGATTGTTGGATCGTGTTGAGCCAAACTTTTGAGTTAAAAATATTGATGTTGGCAAAGAGGTTGAGAGCAGGAAATCTAGTAGGAATTGTTATTAGAAGATATTAAATTCCTTTTAGTTTATTTTTAGTCACTTCTCTTGACCACTCGCTGCCTACGGGCATATTTAATACGTAGCACTAAATACAAATATATTTTTGTTTGGCTTCATTATTTTATCTTCTTGATAATATGTAACAATTATTCTCAAAGTATTAATGCCTTCACAAAATGCAGACAGAAGATCCCAAGTGCAAGTCTCCGTCTAGTATCCACCACATTCTTAACAATCGCCGTTGAACGACGAGCTTCCGTTCAAACATTATCAATGCCTCAAAAATCCCGATTTCCATATCTCTAATCAAAAGGGGGTTACTACATCGTGTAGGTATGGGATTTTTACACAAAATAACGCGAAAAATGATGCTACTTAGTGCCAATCAATATTGTACATCACACAACCTATTTACTTACCCACTACGTACATCAACTAGTATCACACAATAAACAACATACACTAATGAAAAAATTGGTGAGCATTTCATGAGAAATCACATCCCCTTGAAATTTTTTACAATGTCGGGATGGGAATATGCGAAGGCGGCCGTACCTCACGGATTCGCAGCAAAATGGTTAAATATTGTTTCGAGCGTAGATTGACTGATGCTGTACTCTGATATACCAAGTATATTTCTGCAGAAAAGATTTTTCCGTAACATTAAAATCCCGATTTTCAATAGAAAATGCAAAACAAATTTGTGAAGTGAAAAAAGTATTCACCTGTTTCTTTCTATGTGCCCAAAAACGTCAGCGAGTGATAGGTCTTCTCCGTATGGCAGCTGCAGTAAACATGAGATCAGTCGCTAACTGTATTTCAATGGGCAGCTAGTGACAGAAATCGACTCAATCATCCCATGAATACAAAAATCAACTTCCAAATGTGTTTGTTGAAGGAATAAATTAAATAAAGAAATGTATCCTTCTCTATCGGCTTAAACTTTTAAATGAGATAGTTTAACACGGTATCTGAGTAGGTAGCCATTCTGAATTTGAATATCAGAGTTGTGCAGGGGTCATGCCTTCGATAAAGAACGAGTGAGGCTCGCATTTTCCGGGAGACTAAATTTGAATAAATTAATGTAACAACTAAGACAACTAAAGTTTTTAAATAAGGTGGTTCAACATAATATCATACTAAACAAAGGTCCAAGTTCGAGTGTCAGTGTCACCCTTCGATGAAAATCATACACATATTAAGCATTTGAAATAAAATGAGTCAGGATTGTATGTGAGGGGCACGTCGAAGACTAAATTTAATCCACTGGTAAAGAAGACGGACACTATGAATCGCAGAAGTACCAACAATAATTGGCCAAATTACTATATTCTTGTCAACAAATCTCTTTTCAGATTTGTAAAGGACGATGTATTGAAAACGATGACCCGAAAATAAATTCAAATCTGACGGAAAATAAAATCTTTGACAAGTGTTAAATACCTGATATTTAACGCTCAACCCGTTGCAACTTTGATATGTTGCACCCGGAAATGAAGATTGGATGAAGGAATCAATTACTGCAAACTTTTCTTTGGTTAACCACCACTCTGAAAATATTGGTAGAGGAATGCCACCTATAATAAAATACCAACAGTAAAAATAATATTAACCACTGAATGTTGAAAGTAATATAACAAGTGAAATACTAGTGAATGCAATATGGAAAACAAAATGATCCAAACGACCCTGAAAAAGATCTGAGTTGCCAGCATATCTAAGAATGGTGACTAAGATCCATCTTAAATAAATAATCCCTTTTTTTTTTTTTGGGGTCCATTTACAGTTCCTTGTGTTGTTGACGGGGAGAAAAGGAGAGATGGCCAGTTGTAAGTACTAATGAAAGTAGGTCTGTACTGTTCCACGAGAACAATGATGAACCTTATTGATATCTGAAAGTACTGAAAGCATGTTAGGATAAGCTTCAAAAATGTATTATTTATTTCTCACTTTTTAAAAAAGTTATCATTTAAAGAAAAATGATTCTTAACCAACCCCTAGCAGGGATAAGTTTTCGTTTGTTTTGTTGAATGAATCCATGCATTCAAAGAAAACTTCAACTTCATGTTGAAAAAACATTGATCAGGTGACAGAAGTGGACATACCATCACGAACCAACTGCTCTGATAACTGTTCGCCATAAGCCCCACAAGAACCATTATTTCCAGATGCAAGAGCCTTCACTCTTTCTTCATTGCCAAGCCATCGTCCAATTCTCACAATCATTCCTTCTGATAAACTGATCTCTCCTGCTGATGCATTCTCAGATATTATGGAGTCGATGCCCCCAATACACACTTCCAGGTCATTCAGTATACTACTCCTCGGATTAGAAGGAATATCAAAGAGCTTCTCTTGAATTATTTGGCACAGCATTTCCAAGTCCAAGGAGCTAACTTCCGTAGGTTTAACCTGTAGACAGATATAATAATAAAAAATATGAGCAAACTTCGGTGGGTGACGGGGTAAAATAAAATTAAAATGAAATATATTGAACTTATTAGGACGAGAATAGAGGAAAATACTTCTAGTTCGAGATGATTCCCAAATCTATTTTTCAAATGTTGGGGACTCCCAATGCACCTTAGCTTGCCTCCAACCTAAAGATACATGCAAATAACACAATAATTAATGACTTGAATCTCTAACAAGCAAATCATAATCAGGTTAAACGTCTTGAATGCATTTTTGGTAAGGTAGATCAAACACTGCTAGATACTGGATAGTATTAAGATAAGAAAAGGGAGTTGAGATCTAGTTTATTGTACTGTCCAGTCCTTGTTTAGAGTAGTGAGCACCAAACATGCAAAGAAAGAGTACCATTATTCCAATTTTAGTGCAAAGAGCTTGAGCTTCAATCATGCTGTGGGTGGTTAGAATGACAGCAGTCTTTCCTCTTCTGGTCGATAAGCGTGATATAACTTCCCACATGAATCGCTTAGCAATAGGATCCATACCTAGAATATTAAAACATGATACAGAAGCAGCTTCTCAAGTTATATACCAGGGCAAAATACAGATTTACCAATCTAAACTTGAAAAGCACTTCGTTGTCTATTTTAAGACTAGGGAATGGAAAAAGCAAACGAGAGGGTTCAAAAGCATAATATACATTTCTTCTTTATTGTACTTATATTGCAAAGATAGTACAGAAAAACATGACACTAACCCAACTCAAAAGATGACCAATGCACAACGAAATTTGATGCGAACTGGCTAATCTCAAAACCCTTGTACTCTCCAAATTTATAGGTTCAAGTTCTATGAAACATTATCATTTATTGGATACTGATGCTACCCATTATTAAACAAACACGTTATATATAAACCAATTTTATATCCCTTACATGTCACAGGAGGGAGTTTTGAACTTGCAATTCATTTCGAGGGTTAATCAAATAGAAATGCACAAAAAGAAAGATTAAACTGCAAGGAGTGAATCAGAGTTAAATACCGGTAGACGGTTCATCAAGAATGACTATAGGAGGATCACCAATCATCGCAATTGCAACAGATAATTTGCGTTTGTTTCCCCCACTTAAGGCATATGATGGTTTATTAGCATGCTTCAGCAAGTCAAATTCCACTAATTTTTCTGTAACAACCTGCCAAGATTCATCACTAGCATGAATTATCATGTGGTATTGGACATACGTCAAATCCAAAATGTAGACAACAAATTATAATTATAACAAATTATAATTATCACGCTTGATCTCAAATCAAATAAATCTGACTCATTTGTTCAAAAAGGGTTGCAACTTGTGAGAAAAAAGAATTATGAAGGGAGCTAAGAGAAATTATGTGTGAATGAAGGCTAATTCCTAATAAAATGACCACATTTGGAATAAAAAAGGAACAAATTAGGATTAAAGATCAGTACTGATTAAAACAGAATGGATGGATCACAATGCATATCATCGTGTAATATCATCGAGACAATTAAAATATACAAAACAGAGAATGGAGAAAATAATTGACATTAATCCTTCTACAGGAGCATAAGAAAATTACATACGTATTCAAGCTCGTACTCTGGGACTCCTTTTATTCTTGCATAGAGGTCAAGGTGTTCTCGGACTGTGAGAACTTCAAGAAGAGCATCAAATTGAGGACAATAACCAATCTAACATGTAAAGAATGAAATGGAATTAGTCAGACAGGTGCAATCTAATAGTTACTATGACGAGTACCCTTAAAGCAATCAGAAAAACAAGGAAACTAATGAAGAAAGCTCTATATACATGTTGACGAGCAGCCTTTGGGTTTAATCTTATATCTTTACCGAAAATGAAGGCAGTTCCGTCACTTGGACGTTCTTCTCCTGCACATTATAATTGAATAAGAGAGAAATTATAAACCTTACTTAATTATGCCTGTTCAGGAAAAAAGGGGAAACACATAAAAGGCATAAGAAAACTTCAGACAAGATGATACGGGCAAGAATACAAACAAGTATTCATAAAGGAAAAAATCATTTCCATGGAAATATTTGAGTAATTTTTGTCCACTATGATGACAATAAAGGACAGAGATAATTTTCTGAATAATTATGGATAATTCTCACAAGGTTCAGAAATGAAGACACACAAGCATAGTAGTTTTAATTGCACGAAGTAATTGATACCCGACAGCATTGACAAAGTTGTTGTCTTCCCTGCTCCATTAGTTCCTAGAAAACCAAAACACTCTCCTTCTTGAACTGAGAAAGTCAATGAATGAACAGCAATTTTCGAACTATTCTGCTTCCCTCCTGGATACACCTGAAATCACAAAACATATTAGGGAACTTGATCAGATAACGAGTACAACCCCACTCAAAAAATAAAATTTTATATATTTTAGCATGTTGGTGTACCTTCCGAAGATTATGCAGGTAGATTAATGCGTTTCCAACTGAACCTGATAGTACTCTATTTCTCTCTGTTTGTACATCAATGTCTTCATGATCTTCTGAGGATGATGCAAGAAGAGGTTCTAAAGAGCTACCAGAAGTCGCAAGGAACGGCTTTTTCGAACTCGACCACAACTCCCAGACTCTTGCAAAGTTTATCTTATGAAGAGGCAAGAGTTCAAGACCAAGTGTCAAAATAAAGTAAACGACGCCCTGCAACATGTAAAAACAGTTAATGGGATTTACGATTATCGATTGAATTTTTTAAACCATCAAACATCAAAACTATACAAAAAGCTAGTTCTCTAGCAATAGCGATCGAAAAGTAAATACAAAGAAAACCCTGTGCATCAAATTAACATTAAAATAAGCTAGAATCCAAAAGATGTATTACAAAGCTTGAGGTGCTTCTTCTATTGGTTATTTATTGCATTTTCGATACTGGCATGTACAAACTTGGGAACCAATTGTCTTTCCTATCAATTTACTGGGGGAATATGCACCCCCCCCCCCCCCCCCCCCCCCCCCCCCCCCCCCCCCCCCCCCCCCCCCCCCCCCCCCCCCCCCCNCCCCCCCCCCCCCCCCCTCTCTAATGAGTTCTATGATAATAAGTGTTCATTTGTATAAAAATATTTTCTTTGTGCATTTGATTGGGGGGTGGGGGTATTTCACAAATCAATTTTACACTTCACAATATTGAACATGTATGAATGTAAAAGAAATAACTACTTTTTAACCCTTTAAATTGCATATTCAACAAATGAAATATGCCATCATAGCAATTGAAAACACTTCTCCAAATTGGTCGAGAGTATTAATCCATATACTATATATCTAGAGTAGCTAAATACATAACCATGAATAGAGCAAGGCCACATGGTTGGAAATTCTGCCTAGACTGGATATATTGTGGAAGGCATGATTCGTACTAAATAACGAGCTAATGAATCTCCTTTTTGCCATTGAACATCCCAATCGAATTCGTCGCAACATTCATAATGATAAACTTTACGAATGTCCCATTGTATTCCGGAAGCTCGTAGCATTGGTCCTCAGTTATTGGTGGGTTTTTGGTTCGTTAGTTGGTATTGTTTAGTCATTCAAATAATGATTGGTGTTCTAATTGCGTGATCGGCTGTTAGGACGATGGGGAGGATAGAGAGTCCTCTAGCCCAGTCCGGTCTTTGCATCCTTATATTTTGATTGTTCTGCGTATGCAACCTTGGATTGTTGTTGCATATTCTGTTCCTATGCAGCTTCTACCGCTGTTTTCTTGATCTACCCAATTGATCAAGAAAGTTTTTCTGATGGTATCCCTTTAGGAATTTGGGATATGGATGGAATATAATGAAAGTCAGTTGAACAGAATTTGAATAATATCCTGATAATTATGTTTGGAATTCAACCAAGATGAGGATGCCACCAGGCAGAGATATATATGCAAAGCTTATGCACCATATGACCGAAGGTGAGTATGTCTGCCCACCTTTTTTAGCACATTAAGCATCAATGTACATGGACAATACTGAGTTCAAAAGAAATTTCCATCAAAAAAGTTTTCTGGAAAAATTTTCAGATCAATCATAGAGAGCGCATTTCAGTCAGAAGGATTTATTTTGCCAATAATTCTAAATGCTATGCCTATACTCAATCTTATCCTCTATCCATTCGGCAGTTTCTGAAAAATGCATGAGACACAGCAGTAATTCATCCAATGTATTATATCTAATCTCGTGGTTCATACATTCAGATAAAATGTAAAATTTAGTTGGAAAAAAAAAAAGTATTATCAACATCAATCATAAAAAAAATAATGATATGGAAGAGCCACTAAATCTTCAGTCACAATATGTCCAATCTAAAAGAATAATCATATCTAAAGAACCATTTTATGATTATGGAAACCAGGTTGTTCACTCTCAACACAGAGGAAATTGCACGCAATCTTAAGAGAAGAAAAGCACCTCTGCAGCCAGATAACATATAGAGGCTCCAGTCACGTTCCAGTCAAAAGCGCTACTATCAGATCCAGTTTTCATTCCCTGCCGTAGCAGAGCTAACGAAGCTAACCCATCAGCAAAGCAAAAACCAGGTGACAACCTGAAGAAGTTCTGAAAAGAGTTGTCAAGTGTTAGATAGAAGGCTTCTTTATTCCAGTACATACAAGAAGAAATGTGAAACTCAAGCATGTAAAATGAAAATATCATATTTAGAGCATGTTTCACTAAGATTACGAAAAAGAAGTAAAAGTTACTTTTAATCTTGATTTCAAAAGCTTCTGATTACTAAGAGCATTTTTGGCTAAGCTTGGAAGAAGTAAAAGTTACTTTTAAGTAATTTAGTGTTTCCAAACATGTTGGATAAGCTACATTTTTCTTAAATTAGTAAAAAAATGTTACTTATTTTAAAAGCAATTCTTACCTTACTATCAAAATGATCAACTTATTTCCAACTTTAAGCAAAAAAACTGTTTATTTTATGAACTACTTATATACTTACAGCTAAACTTTTTAATCTTAGACAAACATGCTTTAATGACCACATTGATTCTAACACAAAAAAAAATAAATTCTGTGTCATTCTAAGCAATAGAGCATTCATCTAAGATCATGAACACTTCAGACCATCTGAGAAGCTAACTAATGTAAATAAATCCAACAAAGTAAAAGTACAGAATCCAGAATATATTCCAACCTTGAGAACAGAATTTGCATGAGCTGTTGACTTTATAAGCCCCATTATGAATGATATTACCATCAGAATGAGCCCAGTAAAAAGATGTACCAAGAGTACCACATTCTGCAGATATATTTACAAAAATTCAGCATTTTCAGTAAGACAAATCTCCATTCTTTATGAGTCAGATTTCAGAGTCAATACCTGGGCCATGCTGTGTTCAGAAAAGAAAAAGGTGAGGCAATATGTAGATGATGCAATTGCCAGTCCATATTCCAGGAACATGAGGACAGTTGGGAAAAAGGAGTCTCTCCCAATAAACTGATCAAGACCTAAAGAATAAATTGAAATTTAGAGAGGTGTTGGAAGATAAAAGCATTTAAAATAAATTAAATTAATTCTATTACAGGTTAAAATAATAAAATGAGAAAAAGAACATTCTTTAAAAATAAATAGAGAAATTCTTATATTGTTTCCAAAAAAACTTAAAAGACATTCCTTTTTCACATGGTTTCCTAGTAAATTTGTTGACATTAAGTGAAAACAGAAAATACCTCACACAAACATATTTCAAGAAAATGTCTACCCATGGAAACATTCGGTTAAAAAAATACTACGTAAGTGCAAAAGTCCAACCACCTACCAAATATACCAAAGAGAACTATTGCAAAAGATGAAGGCAACAAAAAGCTGATGAAGTCCCATAGGTATGTGGAGGTCCAGTATGACAGTATAGATACCTGAGTCACATCAAAAACAAAGAAAGCATGTATAGTGCCGACTCAAAGAGCAATGGGAGGACTTGCAAAGCTAAACCATGAAAAGAAGAAATTCATACCCCACTAATAAGTTGTTGATGCTTAGCTTTCACTTCACGTTCCTGCATCAAGAAGGTACGGGCTCAAAATTACACGCTAGAATGAATAGGTCAAAAGTTGGTAAAATCTAAGCATAATACTCGAAAAAAGCCGCTCTAATTTCTTAATATGAGCATACTGCATACCTGATAAATAAAACTTCAAGTTAAAATGATAGGTACCTCGGTTATTAAAGAAAGCCTTTCCACACAAAACTCAAGTAGAGAACAACTTATGAACCAAGTAACTCAAGCATTTTGGCCTTTTTGGGGCCATGTTGGACTTCTTTACTAGTGGTTAACTGCCCAAGGGCATTGCCGCTGCTTCTATTGTTTTGCTCCCGAAAAGGGAAGGGGCTTCTAAATGGACAGAATTTAGACCGATTAGGTTATGTTCGATGTTTAGCAAGTTTATCACTAAGCTGTTAAAAACCTGGCTGAATACTGTGCTGCCACGTATTATGAGCTTGTTTGGGAGGGATTGAAATTAGATTAAAATTGAAAATATAGTCGTTGGAATTGACTTTTATTAGACGAGTGGGACCCAATAACGACTATATTTTCAATTTTAATTGAATTTTAACCCTTCCCGAACAAGCTCTATATCTCCACAACATAGTGGATTATCCCTGATCACCTGATTGAGGGCAATGCTTTATTGGCTCAAGAGCTTCTCCACACTTTATAGTCTCTATGGTTTCATTCCCTCTTCACGAGGTCTTCGGCACGGTTATCCCATCTCGCCATCTCTCTTCATTGTAGTGGCTCTTATCTCACATCTGTTGCTGATGAAATGATTATATTCTCCAATGGTCATAAGGAGTCTATCCAGAGGTTACTTGATTACTTGGAGCATTATGAAAGCGTCTTTAGGCAATTGGCGAATAGAGACAAAAGTGGCTTTATACTGTCTTGTAAGGCATCCATTAGCGAGATCAGGAGATTGGAGCATTTGACAGGTTTTGGGCACGAGCAACATCCATTTACTTATCAGGGGTACCTCCATATAAAGGGGCTAAACGGGTTTTCTTATATGTTGACCTTTTCAAAAGGTCTTTTGTTGGACCTCACGTATATTATTTGTTAGGGGATGGATTACACTTTTGAAGTCCATTCTTTGTTCTATGCCTCTTTATCTACTCCAAATCATGCAGTCTCTTCAGACTATAATGAAGAATTTGGAGAGCATATTTGCGCAATTTATTTGGGACCCCAAGAATTAGGCAACTCAATTATACTGGAAGAGATAAATCTTTGTCTTCGTATTGATAAAGGTAGACTAAGCTTCAAGAGATTGCAGGATACTATTGACACTTTTACCTTGAAACTTTGATGGCTTTTTCGTTCACATCGTTGTGGGCTCAATTTTCACTAGACAAATATTGTATAGGGACTCACCCTCTAATATCATCAGCTCCATATAATGCTTTACCTATTTGGAGGAGGTTGAACCTTGCCGAACCAAAGGATAAGCTACATATCACATGGCAACTTGGAGTAAGAAGATCTTCTGGCATGACTGTTGGATGGATGAGGCTACCTAGGCATCCTTATTCCTTCACCAATAACACTCTCTTGTGAGGGTACAATACTTCTATGATGGCCCAGGATGGGATACTGGACGAATGTACAGGTACTTTCACCTACTATAGTTGAGGATGTTAAGGTTATACCTCTATGAACAAATGCTTCGGATTGCCAATCCATGGGTATACCATGAAGTTACAAATGTTGTACCTATGAACCAACTTCTTACAGCGAAATAGGTACAAGGGAAGAGTAATAGACCGCACCAGCATACAAAAACGAAACATATCAGATTATCTCGAAATGCAACCAAATCAGCTCAACAATTAGTCTGCTCTAGTCTACAGCCTCATGATTCATATCGGCTGATGTGAAGTTCAATTATACCTACTCAGCTAGAGATTATGGCAGGATTTAATATCGATCAATGTGATCATCCAGAAGAGGATTTGTTGTCATTTGTCCTCCCATTGCCAACGTTTGGAGATCGAGACTAGTTCACACATTTTCACTGGCAGCATAATTTTTGATCAGGTATGGAATCATTTTGGAAATATCTTTCAAGTACCGATAAGATCCGCTGAGTTAGACCTCGATTTTATATATGGAGGTATTCGAAACAATATGTTCGCAGGGGGCACATTTTCACTGTCATTCTTTCGTTGATATTTTGGTTCTTATGGCTTAAGATACGCATGAGGCCTAAACGAAGCATAATAAGATACGCATGAGGCCTAAACGAATCATTTGGAGCGTCTCCCACATGATTTCACTTCTTCGTATGGGAAGCATAATGAGATATGCATGAAGCCTGGACGAATCATATGGAGCGTCTATCGCATGATTTCACTTCTTCATATGGGTCGCATATTCCAACCTATTCACTAGCTTGAAGACATGACTATCGCCTTTCTTTTGTGGCATTTCGTTGACTCTTCTTCCCTCAGCACCCCCTATTTTAATTTTTTGGCATACTCTATAGTGGAATCTTACAAGATCATCACCGACAGATGAGTTAATAATGGATTTGCTAGTAATGGATACATTATTCGACATAGAATGGGCATTGCATTAAAGCTTTCTCGTCATCTTATGGAGATTGCCTTATTCTGGAGGCTATCTTGGACGATATTTTACTTGCTCGATGACTTGAATTATCAAACATTTGGGTGGGGCAAATTCGTCTATGGCCGTTCACTAAATCACTAGAGGTGGAAAATTATGGGCAATTCAAATCATTCTTGACAAATCAGACACCATCTCTATTGATCGTGATAATGTTTCCTACACTTACGTGAGGAAAACCAAGTTGCCGATTTATTTGCTTCATTATCATAAATATGGTCCCATTGATCTACTACGACGACTTTAAACTCTTGTACATCTAGATAGATAGATAGATAGATAGATATGGACTCCCTAGTATTAGAGAATGTTCTTTTGATTTTTACTTTCTTGTTTTGTATAGGAAGTAATACTTCCCTCTTATTACATCCCTTCATATGTTGCATCTTTTTGCTCCTCTTGTTCTGGTGGGTTGTGTTTTCATACATACATTTGGGGAATACCAAACCCCATTAGCCTTTCCTGGTATTGCTTAAAAATCCACTAAAGTTGTATTAGTGTTTTGTTTAAAAAAAAACAATTTGGTCTAGTGTCATTGAAAAACTTCATAACAAGCATCAAAATAAAATTTTCAAATGCAATATTTAGTAACCCATAAAGAAAGAAAACTCTTCCACCTTAAAGCTTTCCATCATAGGCCATGGACGTTAGTTCTCCCAGTGAGGATTCTTTGATTGCCTCACCCATTGGTGTCTCAAGTACTATTCTCCAATAATATGCCCATGTTCAATCCTTTATATCAACCTTAAAAATATTTTTACTACAATCCAGATTTGGTTTTGGCAAGCTTAATGAAAACCTGCTTGCACCATCAGGTCCAAGACCGACAATAATTTGCGGAATGAATTCCTTGTCCGTCTTCTTCTCTTTTTATAGGAATATTACAAGATATGTTAGGAAACCCTATACATGGAAACTAGCTATTATTTACATGGAAATTACCTAATTAGCTAAATAATTAATATTCTAATAAAGACTTCAACGAAAATAACCACAAAAACTTAATCTGTTAGAAGAGAAATTTATTTATTTAAATCTTTTTCTTTGACACACCCCCTTACATGCAAGCTGAATTCATTTCTCATTGAAGGCCTGACCACGTGCACAATTTTCATAAATGGGTGATAGTGAAACTTAACCTCTTTAACTACTCTTGTTCCAAAAGCACCATATCTTATTGCGTCAAATGAATGCACATTGTCTTCCAGAGAAATTAAAGCATCATATATTATAGCACCATTGTAAGAAAAAAAAGTGTTTTAACCAGAGTTATGTTCACTTTATCAATGAAACTACAACAGAACGATGCTAAGGTCCTCCAGATCTACAGATTTTCCCATACACTAAGAAAATTACAATCTTACCTTCACAATAGCCACAGCGAATGAAGCAGGAATAAAGGAAAAGGCGATATTAACAACAACAGCAGCAGAGAAGGCATCCAAATCCTACAAATAATTCGTCAGTCTACAGTTTATATAGAAATGTTAAATCATATGAGGCCATAAAGAACTTCACGAAGAAAAATCATCAAAAACACTAGTATTATTCAGAGAGAAGATTGATGATGTATAACATAGAATTGTAAGCACAATAGTCATACTGTGACGACATTAAATTTTTAGACCCTTTGGATATTGCTTAAGCCATCCAGTAACAATTTTCACCCCGTCAAGAAGAATGAAAGCATTTTTGGAATATCTTGCACAGAAATTCAAGCAGAAATACTAAATTTACCATTGGATAGAATCAAATTTAGGCTGTTTTTGAGTTTAGGAATACCTCTTGTTCTATATTGTCTAAGCCAGGGAAATTCAATGAGAACAAAGAATATCAAACCATACATGGTGTTGCTGGAGCTGGCTTTCTGTCATGGGCAGAGGGTGATTCCGTGTTTTGATTGTCATATTTTCATCATGGGTAGCAATCCTGAGTATTGCCGAGTCAATTAAATTAATAAAGGTTGGAGCAGCATGCTGACAGGAACTGTTGTGCAGAACGGTATATCCTAAACTTCCATCTTCACTCGGATTATCCATAACAATTGCTCCATACCTGCTCATACACTTGCACGTGCTTAAAATTGAACATGGACAAATAAATAGAATAATCTTCATGAACAACAAATATAACCTCTTCGAGATATATTCCACTCCATTGCCTACCACAAACTACAGACAGCTCGACAATCAAGTTCAAACAAACATTCTCAGGGTTGTAAGCACAGAAATCAATAATAGTGATTTACAAAAACATAATAATGATTACTCCTAAAGTAATCATCTAATAGCAACAGTGGTGTCTTATTTAATGAAGGGGTTTGTATTATGTACGAAAAAAAAAAAAAATCACTCAGCTCTCACTATGGTTGCAGTCTTTAATTTGACTGAACCAAGGATTTGTTGTTATAGCAATTAGCAGGGCACGATTACAACCAGTAGATTTTCCAATTTTCTATCTCTCGAGTCAAACAGAAATTATATAACCAAAGACTTCTGCTGCTGCAAATATTCATGCAAATCCTTTCTAGCCAATCAAGAATAATAGTATGGCCTTCAATGATAATTGATGGTAAAACATCAGTGCCCATTTCATGTCAGTGTATATAACCTCCAATATTATACAAGCCTTGGTAGCCTCTTCACTCATTTCCACTTTGTTTTGAATTTTCGATATTCATAGGAGGGAGGAAAGTCGAGGACTGGTAAGAGATGATAGGGCGAGACGTGGAGAATTAAGGGAAGAGTTGGAAAGGTTAGTGGAAATGGAGGAGATTGCTTGACGTCAGAAATCTAGGGTCGAGTGATTGAAAGAAGGGGAAAGATACACCCAATTTTTCCATAAGATAGCTAATTCCAATAGGCGCAACAATTTAATCACTATGTTGGAGGTAGATGGGGTCACTTATGAGGATCCACAGGATATCGGGACCCATATGGTAAGCTTTTATCACACTCTTTATCGTGAGCAGCTGGACTGGAGGCCAAAATTGGAGGGGTTAAAGACTTTTTTACTATTACTGAGGAGGACGCTAATTGGTCAGATACACCATTTGGGGAGGATGAAATTAGAGAGGTGGTGTTCAACGTGAATGACGATAAGGCCCCATGACCCGATGAATTCTCTTTCTCATTCTATAAGGGTTGTTGGGGAGTGGTGCGTTCAGACATTGTCGACGTTCTTACCTACTTTTTTCAGTGTGGAAGATTTGTCAGAATGACCATTTGGGGAGGATGAAATTTGGAAGGTTGTGTTCAGTATGAACGACGATAAGGCGCTAGGACCCGATGGAGTCTCTTTCTCATTCTATAAGGGTTGTTGGGAAGTGGTGCGATCCGGCATTGTGGATGTCCTTATTCCTTAAAGTGTGGAAGATTCTTAAGAAGCACCAATGCTATATTTATTGTGCTAATTCCTAAGAAACCGGGAGCGACGGATATTAAGGACTTTCGTCCTATTAGCTTAGTGAGTTGGGTAGACAAGATTATTGTGAAAATTTTGGCGCATAGATTAAAGGAGGTGCTGGGGAAGGTGGTGTCTAAATTTCAGAATGTTTTCGTCAAAGGGCGCCAGATTTTGGATTCTGTACTCATAACAAATGAATGCAATGACTCAAAAATGCGACTAGGGGTTCCAAGAATTTTATGTAAACTCGACATTCAGAAAATTTATGATCATTAACTAGGGATTGGATTTGTATATGCTCAGGCGATGTGGCTTTGGGGAGAAGTGGTGCCAGTGGATTCAGTTTTGTATCTCTACGGTTTCGTTCTCAATTTTGGTGAATGGAACTCCGGAGGGTTACTTTTGTAGTAGTAGAGGATTGAGACATAGGGAACCTCTATCTTAATTGTTGTTTGTCATTGTAATGGAAGCTTTCGGTAGAATACTTGAGAAAGCCGTAAGGCAAAGTTTGTTAAAGGGCTTTGTTATTGAGCAGTTGCAGGTTTCTCATTTGCTATTTGCAGATGATACGCTGATTTTCTGTGATGCGGACGATGAGCAATTCAGGAACTTGCGTAGTTTACTCTTGTACTTTGAAACCGTTTCTGGATTGAAAATAAATTGAGGAAAGTCTGAGGCTAACACAGTGGGAAAGGTCGATATGATTAAGGGTTTTGCTGTCAGCAGTTGCAGGTCTCTCATTTGTTATTTGCTGATGATACGCTGATTTTCTGTGATGCAGATGTTGAGCAATTCAGAAACTTGCGTCGTTTACTCCTGTGCTTTGAAGCCGTCTTTGGATTGAAAATAAATTTGAGAAAATATGAGGCTATCACAGTGGGAGAGGTCGATAACGTGAAGCTGGCTGTGATATTGGATTGCAGGGTGGTGCAATTGCCTATGACATATCTTGGGATTCTTTTAGGAGCACGATTTAAAAGCACACAGATTTAGAACAGTATTGTGGAAAGGGAGGAAAGACAGCTAGCAGGTTGGAAGCGTATATACCTTTCAAAGGGAGGCCGTCTTACTCTCATAAAGTCCACTTTGTCGAATCTCCCTACTAATTTCTTGTCATTGTTTCTTATTCCTGTTGCAATGGCAAAAAGATTAGAGATGATCCAAATGGAATTTCTTTGGGGAGTATTAGGAAAAGAGAGGAAATTACATTTGGTTAACTAGCGTGCAGTTTGTTCTCCTATTAGATTTGGTGGTCTCAGAATGAGAAGTCTAGTATTATTTAATAAGACTTTGTTGGGTAAGTGGTTGTGGCGATTCGGAGTGAAGAAAGAGAGTTTTTGAAGAGATATTATAGGGGCAAAATATGGTATTATGAAGGGGGATGGTGCTCAGGTGAGAGATGTGGTTCTTATGTAGTGAGTTCGTCGCGGTACATTCGACCAGGGTGGAGCGACTTTTGGGATATGTTGACTTTTGTAGTAGGGAATGGTAATACCATCAGCTTTTGGGATGATTGTTGGTGTGGACATCAACCGCTTAAGGTGGGATTTCCTTCTTTGTATCATATTAAGTTGAAGCCGTCTGCCATGGTGAATGATGTCTTAGATATTTATAATGGGAGCCCCAGTTGGAATATTATTTTTGGCCGGGGTTTGCAGGACTGGGAATTGTATAATTATGCACTGTTTTTTACGTCTTTATACGAGGTACATATCAAGGCATGAGAGTGTGATTGTAGCAGGTAGAAGTTGACACGAGATGGTATTTTTTAAGTTCACACTTATTTTAGATCCTTATTGAAACTTTTAGAGAGTTCATTCTCCTGAACCATGAGTGGCATGTTTACTATAGAAAGTGATCAGAGGACAGGTGTTAACGGTGAATAACCTTCATACAGGGGTTTTTTATGTTATGTGTAAGAGGGATGGGGAGACGATTGATCACTTGTTCCTTCACTGTGATGGTGCTCGTTTACTGTGGAACGATATTTTGGCGTTGCAACACATTGATTAGGTGTTGCCGAGGCGTATGGATGACGTGTTAAAGGCATGGTAGAGAAAGTTTTGAGATAAGGATAGCAAACTTGTATGGAACCTTATTCCGGGCTGTATCGTATGGCGTGTGTAGAGAGAGCGAAACAATCGCTGTTTTGAAGACCAAACACGAACATATCAATTTAGAGAATTGTTTTATTTGACATTATATACTTGGTTTAATGCTGCGGCCACTGGGCATATAGATGTGCTGCCTAATTTCATGTTGTTACTTTTTGATTTAAATTGATAATACACTTTTTGTGTATTATGCATTAATTAATAAAATATTTGATTACCTTTAAAAAAAAAACTTTATTGAGACAAACATAGACATGTTTACACGTGTAAATACAAGTATGGCAAAGACAAAAGCCTCAAAACTACATACCTCGATTGATATGATTCATTATAGCTAGACATCAGATATTCACTCATTGAAAGTAAGATTGGTCCCAAAGTTGACCCTGCAGCCTCAACAGCATCGTCCAGGGCCTTCTGCGAATTAGGGAACCTGTAAGTAGTCTGTCTAAACCGTTGAATCCATCCCCCATGGACATGCTCTGCAACCTACGTAGTGATAAGCATTTTACTCAGGATACAATTTATAAGGGATTTTAAAGAAGAAAAATGAAAGTGAAGTAATAAATAATTAAAAACCTCATTTGCAATTGGCAAGGATAGGTCAAAAGGAATTGGACCACCCCCACCACCACCAGTTAATAGAGGATTGAAGAAAGAGGTTGTGAAGGTCACTGATTGCTGCTCAGGATGCGGCTTGAGCTTGAGAAAAACAAGACCCAAAAGTAAAAATACGGCAGGAATTAGAAGCTGGAAAACGATAGTTTTCCTATCTCTTTGAGCTGATATTGCTCTCTTTATCAGTAACGCTTTTGAATGTTTCCAAAATGTTGACCTCGAAAATATACCACAGCAACAGCACTGCATACTTAGGAACTTGATGACATTTAGCACAGTACCACAAAATAGACTGCAAGCTTTCCCAATTACTGAAAATATAAGTCCAATGACTTCAAAATAACTTCTACAAAGTTTTGACTGAAAGGTTGTCTTTGGAGCATGATTTGGCTGATGAAAATTATCGGGTGAAACTAGAGATTTCTTCTCATTAGAGCACTCGGTTTCATCAAAATCACCTCCAGCAACTCTCAGGAATACTTCCTCCAAAGTTGTGACAGATATGCCAAAACCCTCAATGCCAAGAGAAACATTCTCTCCATATCCGGTCAATTCAAAGTGAGGATCTGCTCTTCGCATGCAGCTCTCTATTTCCCGAAACATGCTTTCAAATGACGATGAGGATGCAAGAGGGAGCTTAAATGAAATTTCAGTACCAACCTGCAGAGACATAAATGACCCAACTAATAATTTGGACAAAATTTCAGCATTTCTTTTTTTTTTTTTTTTAAGTAGCAGGATTGTTTCCCAGAAGGGAAGAACCACGCTACAAAAAATTCCTCATTGATGTAACATGTGAATGGAACAAAATAAAAATTTGAGAAGTCAATTATAAACAAAGAAACTGATCCAGTTAGAAAGTGCAAACAACAGAGGGTAGAAGAGTACTTCGCTCACGCAGGTTGCTGTTGGAATGTGACGATAAACAATATCAGCAGCTAAAGAGGCACTTGGTGTACCCTGTAGATGAAGATAGTTATAGATCAAAGGGAGAATGATGATGTCCGTCCTGCTAATAAGGGCAATCAAGACACCTAACGACACAAGTGAATTGCAATGGAACACACCTTTACCAGAGTGAGCGTATAACCAACCCCATACTGGTGCTTCAAGAAAAGGGAACTGTCAAAAGATGAACATGCGTGTTAAGAACATAATGTGAAGGGCCGAAGACTTACAGGAACAAACACTTCCCTTCAAGTTAATACATTTCTCCTTGAATAGAAGCTCTCAGGAAGGGGAAAACTCCTTTCCAATTTTTCTTCGAGTGGGAGGAATTTGTGGTTTTTCACAGGGGTGGGAGTGAGGGTGGGTCCATTGTTATACATTGTGTTTCTACATGCATATTATATTTAACTGCAAAACCTATATCTTATGGTATAAACAGGAAAAAATGCTGAGATAGAGTAGGAAGAACCTTCCACAGCATTTTAAAGAACCATTAGCCATGATAGCTATCCGATCTCCTAGTACCTCAGCTTCATCCATGGAGTGAGTTGTTAGTAATATTACCCTTCCCTTCTTAATTCTTTTGATTAATTGCCATGTCAACCGCATTGAGTAAGGATCCATTCCACTTGTGGGTTCATCGAGAATAATGACCTTGCTATTACCAATTAATGCAATTCCAAGTGATAACTTCCTTCTCATACCCCCAGAAAGAGCCTTCACAACAGTATTTACTTTGTCTGCCAAACCCACCTAATGAAATATTATCCGCCAAAAATAGCTCGTCAGCAATTAATAAATAAAGGCAAATAGATTTCGTGCATCATGCTTGTCAAGATAGAGTTCATTCATCATAACGCTATCTGTTAAATAAATGAAAGCAAAGAGATGGGCAAAATGTGCATTTAGAATTGACACAATCATCAAAGAGATAGTAGGTATCTCCAAGTGGCCTCTCCAATCATTGCTGAATTTCGAGTCAAGCTACCAGCTAAAAGATGGTATCATTTTATGATTTGAAGAGTTTTTAAACCAATGTCAAAATGTTAACCTACTTCAGTTCTTTCAGTTTTTCTTTTTTCCATCTTTTCCCTTTAGTGAATCATGTCATCCAAGTCAGCTGCACTGAATGCATACTACATTTTTATGTCTACTTCAAATTCAGTAGATTGCAATCAATTTATGATGATAGCCAAACATATGTCCCTTTGTTCGTATTTCAGTTCTCGTGCGTTTGCCCCATTCTTTCACCCATTTTCTCTTCATAGAAACAAATGGACGACGACATTTCTTTAAAAAATAATCATGGCATACGGTGTGCTGAAATTCAGTCACTCAAGACAAAGTCTTTTAAGATGAGAATAAGACCAACAGTGCTTCCTAAGCGGTAATAAGAAGTATCACATCCAGCCAACATGAAGAAAAAAATGTAAAAAAATAAAATGCATAAACAACATTACAAAAGTAGAGTGCTTGCAATCAAATGCCAGCAGTTGGTGGTGGTAAATATAAGAGAGAATGCAATACAAAGCCTAGAGCAAGCATGAAAGATCTTAAATTAAAACTAGGAGTGATTATGATAGATTCACTACCACACAAGTAATAAACGGAAGACAAAGAAAACCCTGAATCACCAGTGTTTGGGCGATATGTGAACTGGGTATTCAGACTGAAAAAGTTAGTTCAAGCTTCTTTTGTCAAATTGTTTTGTGACTAACTGAAAAA